TTTTTTAAAAAATTCGAAAGGTTCTAAACTTTCAGAAGTTTTAATAAAATCGCATATTAAATTTTAAAAATTTTCAAGATTTATATTTTAAACATGTTTTTATCTTTATATTAAAAAATCATATTTCTTCTTTTTCGATAAATTTTAAAAATTACGAATCGAATTTTAAGATATTTTGGACACAACCTTAGTGGTATTAAAAATTTTTTTTTTATTAAAACTAATCAAGAGAATAAGAGACATTATAACTGCTCAAAAATATAAAACAGCAGAGGTTAAGTTTAATTTTGAGGTAGGTCAGAGAAAATTTCTAGATATAATAAATCTAACATCGGATGAATATCTTAGTAGCATAAATTCTTACCCAGATAACCGTTTTCCATTTTTGATTTCAATGGTGAATATCCCAATAATAATATTCAAATGAAAACAATAAAATAAATATCCCAACGAGAGATGTTGTTTTTAAAAGAATCGAAAAACGTTATAAGCTTTTCAAACATCACATTGGATTTATTCGAGAAGCTATTGCATTTTCCTTCAAAATAAAACAATGGAATTTTATCACATTAAGAATCTACTTTGAATTTGGTATTGTGTTTCAGAAAGATAGTAACTAATAGGTCAGAGGTTATTCTACTTAAGGAAAATATTAGTGCCATAAACGTTACCTCTTCAAAAAAGAGCCGTTATTTGTTACGCTTTAAAATAAGAACGCATTACCGTTACTTGTTACCTTCTAAAGAAAGTAATGCTTTACTCGCTATTGAAAAAACCAACGCATTACTCCTTACCTTTAAATATTATATATAAATTTTTTTATATTTTTTTTCCCCATAGATAATAAAAATAAAATTATACAAAAATATTATTGTAATATTTTTGTAACAGTATTTTATTCAATTTTAACAATTGATTTTCAAAATTTTGATCAGATATAAGCAAGATAGCTTAGGGCTCAAAACGCCTTTCGCTCTGTTAAACAAAGGTTTATTTGGCGCAGAGGATGGGAGGGTTGTATTATATTTGATAAATAAACATTATAATTGGGTAATTTATTCATAAAAATTTAAAATATGATCTTTATTTTCAAAAAAACTTATTACATCGTCTTAACAAGAATTTTCATTCGGACCCTCATCAATTTTTTTTTATCAGTATTTAATCTGAATTCATATTTTTGCCTTCATATATTTTTTAGGTATGAGCTGCAAGGTATCGAGGTTGAAATATTTTAATTAGAGCAAAATCTACGCTTAGTTTGACTTAATAATTTTCTTTATTGGTGTACAAAAGATTTTACACTAAGCCAGGTCTAAATTAAAGTATCTTCATCTGAAGAAATATGCACCATTGACATAAAATAAATATTAAATTAGAGAATATAAATTAACATACCTTGGTTGATTCAATATGAATTAGATTTACAATCTTGACCATATAAAATTCAACAACAAAAATATGTTAATAAATGAAATTAAAATGAAGAACTTTGGTGGATGATCTGAATTAAAAACTCGGCTTAAATTTTTTATAAAATGAACCTTCATCACTTAGCATCTCACCAGATATTCCACCACCACCTTTAATCTCAACCCCAAATGACTATCAATTATTTAATCCACCAAATGAAAATCCAACACAGGATAAGACCTTTATAAAAAATTATCCAATTCCTGATTTGGAATACCCAATATTTTTGACAAGCTATTTTAGTCCTACAATATCACGAATCCCAAAAGCAGCCCTTAAATTAATTTATCTTTTTTATATCAAAATCATTAATAATAATTTACAAAACCCAGAAGATTTAAATTGGAAAAAATTGATATATTTCCCAACAATAATATTATCAAATCCACCAAAAGATTATCCAACCCCATTATGCCAAACCATCAAAGAAAGAATTGAAAACTTTGATTTTAATTTTGAAAAATTAACACCAAATATCAACGATCCTAAAGACTAAGTAACCCCTCACACAAACTAATATATAATAAGATTAATAATTTCAATCTAAAAGGATCTCTCCGAGCTCTTGCTAAAGCAAACACTTTGGCACCCGATAATATCACCACAAGAAATTAACTTTTAGAAAAACATCCGAGCCCCAAATACACTCTTCAAATACTGCCTATACTAAATTCAAAGATAAATATCACTCACGGAGAAGCTTTAACCGCTATTAAATCTTTTCCAAACGATCTGCTCCAGGGCTGGATTACCTTCGACCCTCATTTATTATCGACCTCTAGGGTTTAGACAGTTCCGAATTTCTACTTAATTCTTTAACGAAAATTTTTAACTAGCACCAATAATCTTTGGTGCTCGACTAATTACGCTTGAAAAAGCTGAAAATCAAGTGTGCCCGATAGCTATTGGAATTTTCTACCTACGAACCATTTCAAAAATTATTTGTAATCTCAAATCTACAATAACCTTAAGCTTAGCTCATTACCAAGTGGGATTTGGAATGAAAGGAGGCTGTGCCGCAATCCATTGCAGTCGACTAGTTTTATAAATGATGACAGAGTTATTAAACATCAAACTCGATTCTAACTCATGGCTTCAACCAACTCTCCCTTGTAAATCCGGAGGACTAGGCCTAAGATCGGCATTAAGTATAGCCCTTGTTTCCTTCATCTCATCAACCTTATCAGTAAAATATATTACCTCGCAAATTATTACCATCGATAAAGATAATTTATTAGATGAAGCCTTACGTTGTTGGAATATTAATGTCTTACCAAACACAGCCCCACCAGATTCAACGAAACAAAAAGATTGGGATCAAGGATCGGTATCTCGCTCCTTAGCTTACCTCAACTTAAGCGATGATCACCAATATGAATTCCTCCTAAGATCACTTAATTTCAAAAACTCAGGCCATGAATGGTTATATTCATATCCCATCATTTTAAATAACCAGCTAATAGATAACGACGCATTTTATTATGCAATCAATTTACGCTTGGGCGTACCTTTCCTAAACCATTATATTTTCACTAAATGCAATCAATCGGCAGACGCGTATGGGAGACACGCTCTCTAAATTTATATCAAAAATCAGCCGACATTATAAAATAAATACAATAATAGCTTCTTTTTTAAATAAAGCCAATTTTCCCTGTATTTTAGAACCGACATCTTTTTTAGAAAAAAACACCCTGACGGCAAAACAATCGTACCTTATTTAATGGGAAAGCCTTTAATGTGGGATTTTACCTGCATTGTTCCCATGGCCCCATCTAATAATTCGCGTGATCTCCTTAACAGAGCTAAATCTCTAAAAAATAGAAAATACTCACACCTAATGTGTGACAACCACTTTGTTCCCATAGCAGCTACATCAACCTGCTCTTTTGGACAAGCGGCATTAGATATCTTCAAAATAATATCCAAATCAATAAAAAAATCATACCTTTCTCTATTTTATAAACTCAAGCAGAAAATCTATCTATAATTAGATCTAATTATCAAATATTTAAAACATCATGGCCCGACCTAGCCACTTGATATTTTTTTTTAATGTTTTTTGTTTTTATAAAAATATACATTTGCATCAATCTTTTTTTTTAACTTAAACTTATATATGACATATTTTATTATATTCTTTATATTATATTGCTAATTTTTGAATAATAATATTTTATCATATTGTATATGAATTTTAATAAAAAATTATATTTTTAAAATAAACTAAAATATATTTTTTGAGGAAAAGTTTAAAAACGCTTTGCGCTATCGTTAAGCTAAAAATAAGAAACACATTTATTTACCTTTTAAAACAAGTCCTTTCCTTAAAAAGGGAACGTTACTTTCATCTACATTACTTTGCATTTGCAGTACTAAATATGTTTAAAAACTACTATTAAGATTTCTTTTTATCTATTTGCAGGTAACATTAAGTATTTTAATTCACTTTTTTATTTCATAAGTCATTTAGGTGTGGCTTCTTTATTAGACTCCTAATTTTTGAAATTGAACATTATATCGAAATATATGATAACAAAATTTTACATTGATTGAATTTATTATAAAACTTTTTAAGCTGGAGAAGGATGATTCAATTAGTAAGTATTGAAAATGAAAGCCATGCGGATATAATAAATACAAGTATAACAAAGTTAGCAAGTGAATATTCAATGACAAAACAAATTATGATTCTACTTATGATGAATCGGAACAAGAATGGCATATTCTTATCGGAAAACGTTAAGAATAGGGTAGATGTCCGCATCATTTCATGCTAAAAAAAAATTTTGTTCTAACTAGCACGTCTACTAAAAGGGTTTTATCTATGGCTAAGTTGAAATTGAATTCAAAATGAACATCCTCAAATCCCACAAATTTGAATAAAATTTTTTTATACATGATAATTATGAAATTAAAAAAATAAAATATATAAATAGTATTACTATTTATAATTTATTTTCCTTGATAATTTTTTTAGCTTTACATAAAAAAAATGAATTAGCATTTATTAAAAATAATATTACATTGCGCCAATTCAGCGATAACGGCTAGCGCATTATCTTTTGATAGTGGATGAAAGTATATAAATTCAGACTTGCCTGTTTTAAACTGGGTTCGAGTTTCGACTAGCATCATAAAATGCAAATATACAAGTTCTAACCACTTTTGTGTAATTTAAATTTAAAGTTCTAGACACGTCTTTGATTCGATTTAATTTTAATCCGATCTGAATGATTTTGTATCCATTAATGCCTTTCTAATATCATCGACTTTATATTACTGACTGACCCTTGACAATTCAAATTTCCATCTATTAGGTAACAGGGAGTCTTTTAAAATTGCATGCAAGCATTTTAAAGAGTTAAAATTTATTTAAAAAAATATCAATATATGATATAAGTTATAAGAGAAAATATGTATACCGACCAGCCTAAAATATAAAAGAGTCAAGATAACCCTTCTAATTTATGAAGTTATCTCATAATCCACACCAAATTATAAATTTATTCAAAAAATATTATAAGTGAGAGAAAATACTCTAATCGAATTGGAAGAACGTCACTTCTGCGATAGGCATCATTTATCTAAAAGACATTTGAAGGATATCTTCTTTCTGCAGCGACATCAAATGCTCACTCGTCACGATAAAGTTAAACTTATTAAAATTATATATTTAATTTTTTATATATATTTGCTGATTTCATGAAAGGAATTGGAACAAATCAAAAAGGATAACGATGAAAAGGTCGAGGACCTTAAGAGAAGGCAGATAGTCGAATTAAAATCTTTCCCTAAAAGGATGAAGAGTGAAATGAGAACGAGGCTCACCATGTTTAAGGAGAGTGTAAAAATTCAAATGCCAGGTTCAAGTTCGGATCAAGAAAAAATTCTCATAAAAAATGTATACAGTAATATAACACTTCATTTTTTTCAAAGAATTTAAATTGGATACAATTTTATTTTTTAGTTTGAGGAAAAGGAGAAAAGACGTTATAAAGAAGAACAAACTCGCTTAGAACAAAAACATTCAAAGCAACTTCAAGATTTGTTGGAAAAAAACGAAATTATGATTAAAGAATTGGAAATTAACCAGGTTAATTATTTTTGTTTCACATAATATTTGCATAGACCACAATTTTTGTCAATTGATTTAACCTGAAAATAAATTTTGTAAATTTCGATTTGAAGACTATTATTTATAGTGTTGATACTGAAACAGCTGTCTTATACAATCAAACAAGTGCTCATTTTAACAAGGGGTCAATGCATGTAAAGAGTAAAACGTTTGTATACAATAAAATTAGACAATTATAATTATTTATAATAAATCTTTTCTAAGGAACAAAATTTTTTTGAAGATTTATATTTTTTGTTCTTAATTTATGCTTAATCCATTAAAACATTTGATGTTATAGTTCAATTTTTCTTCTGCATAGTACCATTAATAGGGGGTAGGAGGGGGGTTGGTGTGCTTAGTACTATTAATATATACTAAATAATCTCTTGTAGTTGTCAATAATTTTTAGTCATTATTCTTTTCTCTGATATTAAAATTTGTGTGATGTGAAATATCATATAAATGTTATTGAAGTTTTATATTTTTTGTTCTTAATTTATGCTTAATCCATTAAAACATTTGATGTTATAGTTAAATTTTTCTCCTGTACCATTAATAGGGGTAGGAGGGGGGTTGGTGTGCTTAGTACTATTAATATATACTAAATAATCTCTTGTAGTTGTCTATAATTTTTAGTCATTATTCTTTTATATGATATTAAAATTTGTGTGATGTGAAATATCATATAAATGTTATATTGAAAATTTGGCGAACTCTTTTATAATATTAGGCGGACTTTTGGTCAGGGAACTTAAATGTTGGTTATTTTTATTATTTTGAAAATATTGTTTGTCGTAAGTTCAAAAAATAATTTTTGCACATTATTTTGTTTAAAATATGAGATTAATAAACAAAGTAATTACAACGCAAAAAAATAAAATATTGAATACTTTACAATTAATTATACTTATTCTATTATCGAAATTCAACTAATACATTTAAATATATTTTTATTGAATTAAATTGGCATACCACTCCACGTATATAAGAGAATTAACAAATATTTTTTTATAATATTTTGTACCTGACCCGACCTTGTAATTAATTTAAGGATCTGATACCCATAAATAAAATTATACCCAGTACATCCAATATAAATCAAATTATAGCTTAAAATATTATTCAGACATCTGCAGAGGTCAAAATTTTAAGCCTGTCTAGGATTAAAATTTTATATAAGCCCAAACTAATCAAGATTTAATTATTTTTCTTTATCAAGCCCGGCCTAGGGTTATATTCGATCATTTTACGGCCCATATTTTTTAAAATTTCATTGTTTTCCAAATTACTTCTAAGGAAAGTTAAAAACATGAGCAGTAAATGAATATTAAACCCTTCATTATAAGATTTTCCCACTGTAATTAATGTGATTTTTTTTTTAAAAAAAATAAATTGGCTCGGTCCAAGATTTAAAAATTTTTTAAGCCCCACTGACTTTTTAATTTTTTAAATCATATTATATTTATGCCGTTCCGGGCCTGCAGGTCTTTGATATTAATATTTTGTTAAGTTACAACAACGTTTCAAAAATTGAGATTTTGAAAACCCCAAGAGCCCATTTTTGGAATGAATTTTAATATAGCTATGTAAAAAATATCCTTTTTATAAAATTTTTAAGTCACCTTTTTCATTTTTAAAATCCTGTATTTTATTTATTTAAAAATCTGGACTTAATTTTAATTATTATTTTATTTATGTCTAATATGACAAACTAGCATGAAAAGCGAAAAATGCTCATGGAACACGAAACATTAAAATTGAAACAGAAGGATAATGAATTTAATCAAGATTTCAAGGCATGGAGCGCTTCAGTAGAATCACGAAAATTGGTAAACAATTTGACTCATAAATTTATAGTACACCTTCTCTTTTTTAAAAAAATGCCCATTATTTTCAAGATCCAATATCTTGGAAATTAAATAAACCTTAGGAAACTTCCAGGCTGAACTTTTTTCAAAACGGTAAAAAAATAAACGCAGCTTAAATGTTTCCAAACACTTATTAGCCTGTGTTTATTTTTATCAGTTAGAAAAGACTTTTTCTCAGGAAGTCCATTTAAGGGAGTATTTTTAAAGGGATCATATTCATATTTAGCCAGAATTATTATAACTAATTATCCAGTGGCTTAGCCAGGAACCGGGGGGGGGGGTTATAAAAAATATTGAGGGCTTCGTCCCCAAACCCTTTTTGCTGAATCCTTATTCGCTTTTACTTTGTTATATGAGAAAATGTAATAAAATATTCGCATAACAAACTTTTATAGTTAATTTTATTAATAGATTTTATATTGATCATCAATATTCCTTTAGTATAAATAATATTCCTTTATTTAACCCTTCATTGCATATGTGAAAAAATATCACACGACGAGAGAGTAGGTGGGTTACCTCAGATTCCAATTTAGAAACACTATATATTAAAATCAAATTAATTTGTAACATCAGTGATTTAATCAATATTTTATTTTTGGTATAAATTTTAATAATATCTTTGACTTACTTGGCAAAAGCTATCATAAAATGATAAAATAACATTAAATTATTAAAATTACAATTGAAATCACTAACTTATAGTTTATTTAATATATTTTTAAAATATGAAAGCTACCAGTTAATTTGATATTGTTTCTAAATTGGGATCTGAGAATACCTAGTCCTTCGCGTTTTTTTTTCACCTGTGCAATGAAGGGTTAAAATTTTTATAGATATCTAGTAAATATTTTACCAAGCTTTCATTTTCTTCAATTCCACAATCGTGATTAATATATTTTATAAAATCTTCATCGCTACATGAAACACTAATCCCTTATAAATTAATATCAAAAATGATCTTATTATTATTATTACTATCATGGAATCAGATTCTTAAAAAAAATTGTTGTTCAGAGATCAACCATATGTTAAAAAACAGATAGAGCCCCCCCCCGAGAAAAATGTAAATAAAAAAATTAAAATTATATAACATCAAACTTTTAAAAATAATGAAATTAAAAAATAATATTTATACTATAAAATCTTTTAAATAGTTAAGATATAATAATTAAGTAAAAAATTGCACGACTGTCTGGTGGGGTCTATGTGACACCAAACTCCAAAAAACCCTTATAACTCTTGAACTACCGAAAAAATCAAAATTAATTTTGCACACATATTCTTTATCTAAAAATGTTAAACTACTAAAAGATTCAGGCAAAAATATCGAATGAATTTTAAGTAATAACATTTTTAAAATGCCTGATCTGTATAGTCCCACATGTGCAACGAAGAGTTAATTATAATAACATTACGAATTTATAAGAATATACAATAAATAATTTTAAAATGTATGCATTTATTCAAATTATGATAAGATAAATTTGATTGTGAATAACGATTTTTAAAAAAAAAATGTTAACAGTATAATTATATTTCATAAGTTTTATTAATTTTATATTAAAAATAAATAGATAATTTATGTTATAACTAAAAATCTATTATAATTAAATTTTATATAAAAAAATAATAATAGTTTATAATACAAATATGATGAATTTATTAAAATATTCCCTGTTACTCTAAATTTATTGAATCCTCATCAGACGCCTTTGACATATGGATCTTTTCAGATTTTATCCCAAGAGGGCATCCAACAAGGGGATCCATTAGGATCTCTTTTTGTTTTGGAATCCATCATCTCATCTACCAAATCAAACAAAATTTCAACCTAGATCTTAATCTATGGTATTTAGACGATGGGTCCATCTGTGGCCCTTCAGCTAATGTACTAAGCGCTTTAAAACACCTGGAAATCAATTCCCAAGCTATCGGCCTGGTACTCAACATGAATAAAACAGAATTATGTTTCTTAAACAATAAGCCACAAAAGTTGGAAGGCTACAAAATCATTGCTCCTGATAGTTTTTAACCTTACTTGGGTCCCCATTAGCTAATGCGACCATGTCAGAAGATTTCCTCCATAAGATCTTTAAAAGCTTTTACAGCATGGAGCACATTCTATGTCTCCTACCAGCACACCAATCTTTATTTTTAATACGCAAATGCCTGTATATACCTAAATTTTTGCACATTTTCCGATCAAATTCATATCTACAATTCAGGATAAATTTAAAATATTTCTAGAAAAAATTTTAAACATAAATTTAAACTCATTCAATTAGTCACTTGCTCAGCTACCTTCTAAACTAGGCGGTATAGATTTTTTCCACTCAATCTTTTATCCTTATCATCATTCGTATCATCTAGATTATCTAACAATTTTATTATTTCTGGCTTCATATGCCCTACCGATCGTTTAATAGACGACGCTATTGAAAAATGGAAGGCTAACACACCCATTAACACCGTATTACCATCAATCATCACAAAATTTTTCCACACCTTTAATCTCGAAATACCAAACAGATATATCAGCCAATCCACCCTTAGATTGCATTCAACTCCTTCAATTATCTGACAGACTTGGTGGTCATGAATGGTTAGAATCACCGTAATATCAGATGAACAATTGAGAGTTACCATTGGTTTACGTCTAGGTTGTGATATAGTACAGCCTCATGCCTGCATCAAATGCAAATCACCCGTTGATTCAAAGGGTAGACATGGCTTAAATTGTATATTTAGTCAAGGGCGACATCAACGCCACTCAGCTGTAAACCGTATAATAAATAGAAACCTAACAGCTGCACCATTCTAAACAATCTTGAACCATCAAATTTATCTCAAGTAGATTGTTTAAGACCTGATGGTATGTCAACCATACCTTGGGCCCTCGGCAAATCACTCATATGGGATTACACGTGTGTCTCATCATTCCCTTCAAACATAAATTTCAATTTAATAACACAGGCAGAAATTAAAAAGACAAACAAATACAAAAATTTTGAAAACTTCATATTCACTCCAGTAGTGACCTCTCCTAACGGGCATTTTTCGCCTTCAACATTTATGTTTTTAAAAAATCTGGGTATTAAAATACTACTTTTCACAAATGAACCCAGAGAATTTCTTTTTATTCGACAAAAAATTCAAATAGAAATTTTTAGACACAATTATGGTTCCTTTTTGACTCAATATAAATTTATAAATTATATTTTTTTTTAACTAGGTTTTGTAAAAAGAAATTTAATAAAATAAAGAATAAAACTAAAAAAAAAAAATTAATTATAATAATTTTATTTCGATTCTTTGATTTGAATTTATAAAGAGAGGTCTACCTTTCTCTAAGATTTTACTACTTTATCATTTATTACATTATTATCTAGATCCTTATATATTTTTAATAGGGCTTATACATTTATAAACGGTTTTCACTGGTAATATTTCTCAGATAGGTTTTAATCTTTTTAAAGTTTGGAAACACCATTTTTCATTAGTGCAGTTACTAATGAGTAATTTAGCAAATAAATAAAAAAATTTTAATATTAGCAAGGAATCCTAGTTGTAAATACACCTGGAAAGTGATTGTAAAGAATTTTTTGGTCCCAAAGATTATTAAATTTATTATTGTTTTTAAAAAAATGGGTTGTTGGTGGGGGTTTAAATACTGTAATAGTATTAATAATATCACATCTTGATATAAATTTTCATAATATTAAGATTTTGATAAAATTATCTGATAGATTTTGAAAATTTATTGTCAACTTCTAAATATCGCTTCAATGGCTATTGAATATTAGTTGTTATTTCATTAGTACATGGTAAACAAAATACTATTTAAAGTCGTAAATTTCCTTGAATATACCATTTTCGAAAATGCCAAATTTGGCAATATTAATCATTCATAAAAGTATTTTTAAATATGAAATCTAGGAGGCTCAAAGAATATTTCAAATCGAACTAAGTAAAACATCAAAATCCAGGCTTATGTTTTAAAGCTAAATATGGATGGGATATATTTTAATTTTGAACCGTATAAAATCAAATATTGCTTAGTTTGAATTTTGCCTATCCTGCCAAAACCTAAAATTACATTCGCATTTACGATCTATTTACAAAAGGATGGCGATTTTTTTTGAAAAAATTAATATTTAAGCTAAACGCGAATGTAGATTTAAACCTAAATACTTTGATTATGAACCTGAATCTTACATTTTTTTAAAAAATGTAAAGGAACAAATTGAACCGTTTAGTTCAATTTTATAATATTAAATGTAGTTTAAAAATTACATTTATTTTTATAATCTTATCCTATAGAATATTTATCTTATTTTAAACTATTATATAATGTAATTTGTTTTTTAAACTATTATAAATTCATGTATAGGTTATATATATATTATATTACTAAAATTTATAAAAATAAAAAGTATATTTAAAAAGAAGATGCATTTAATTTATATTTATCTTGAAATAGAAACTTAATACCACATTTTTCATATCAAAGGGAAATTAAGCTAAAAAATGACGCATTTTCTGCGTATCTATCCTGGATCCTCGATATCAAATGTTGCTATCAGATGACGAAAATAACAGGATTAGGAAATATTTTATACAAATTTGACATGTAATTGAAGCATTTGATGATGGTATAATGATATTTAATAATTTTCCTTTTATTAGTTAAAGCAAAATTATTATCCGACCACGATGATTTTGTATCCTTAATACAAGGGATTTTTTTAAAAAAAACAAGTCGTACAATCATTTAACATCATCGAAAGGAATAAAAACACCGATATTTTTGCATACAGAGAAGGAAAAAATTGGAGTAACCCGAAATCTATCTATCATTATTAATGACCATGTCTGTCTCAGCCAGGTTTGGTAAGGTTTCATATAAAAAAATATTTTGTAAAATAAATAAACATACCCTTCAAAAAAAGTATATATCTTGCATGTAAATAAATTCTTTCTTTCTCATATATATTTTAATACTTAATATATCAGAACGAGAAAATTTATTTTATGGCCTTTTAAAAAAAAATACAATCTTGTGAAATATTATTTTAACATCCGAAAAAAAAATGACAATTGTTTTAAAATATAATTAGTAACATTACATAAAAATATTTTATATTTGAACAAACGTCTGAAAATAATTATATCACCATAAAAAAATTTTAAGAAATATTTAAATGCAAATAAATAATTTTTGGAGATGGATATTATAATATATCATTTTACCTTTTTACTTAAGGATATTTTATTAACCATTTTATAAAATATATATAAATAATATATTAAAAAATGTCAGATATTTTGTTTTAGAATTATATCACAGTCACAGAATTTTAATATGATCGAGCAAACTTATAAAATAGTTTAAAATAATTTATTGGCCATTTCTTTTATTGTTTTGGAAGGAACTTTTAAATTTTTAGGGATTTGAAGGTTTTTAAGCTACTCAACTGAAAATATCTTAACTCGGTGTAATTGGAATCTGTTTCTTCTAGTTTTATATTATATTCTTCAAAATTTTTTATTTCTTCAATTTCGTTTTTAGTATGAACATTTTATTTAAATAAAATAGGATGAAAAGGATAAGATCTTTATCTAACTAAGACCTATAATTTATGTTTAAAAAAATAAATTGTAGATTTTGGATTTATAATCTAATAAAAAAGCGAAAAGTATTTGTATTTATTTCAAATCGTAATAAATATGAAATACCTTTTATTTATTAGTATTTAAAATACAAATAATAAATACTCTTTAAATTATTCAAATAAATATATAAAATTATTTGTATTTTATATTTTAAATACAAGTATTGGCTGGTGCCAGCTTTACAGGTTTAGGTCGAAAAAGCATTGATTGAAATATATTATATCACGTCAGGGAACAAGATTGGACAAATATATATCTATTTTAATTTCACGCTGTAATCATAATATACAAATGAAAATTGTCATAAGGGTTAACTTTAAATTGTCTTTTATTTCTTATTTCTCTATATTTATCATGATATACAAATAAATATTGACCCAAAATTTTGGGACGAACTTTAAACTATTTTATTTTTCACATTCCTCTATATTTATAATAAAATAAGATTGAAATTATTTATAAAGCTCTATATAAAAAATAACTAGAACCAATAAAGATTTTTGAACCGAACCTAAACCTTTATAATTTTTTCATCCTGGAACCTATTTATAATAAAATAAGATTGAAATTATTTATAAAGCTCTATGTAAAAAATAACTAGAACCAATAAAGGTTTTTGAACCGAACCTAAACCTTATAATTAATTCATCCTATAACCTGAATCAAACCAAAGTTAACACTCTGAAGGTAACACAACCTATTGTTATTATTTTAAAACGTTATAATTTTATATCGGTTAATTAGTTTATCACATAATTTAATTAAATTGGCTTATGAAAATTTTATTAAACTATATAAAATAGAAATTAGAAGAAGATTTTAAAAGAGAATCTCAACAACAAAAAGAGTTTTATGATACAGCTTCATTAGCCGAAAGTATAGCGGGCCATTCATTAAACGTTTTTAATAACTCCAATTTTATCTTTTCCAACTCTTCGCAATCTAAATTGAGCGAAAATTTTATCAAAAATTTATCTTTTGACAACGGGCGAAGAAACAATGAATACTTCAAAAAAAGTTCTTACGAATCGGTAGATAATGATATCATGTTGGATCAACGAAAATCGGCTTACGACCCTCACAACATATACTTGACAAATTCATCGTCAAAACCCTATCTCCAATCTCCGGCTATCTTCGATTCATCCGCATTAGGACATGGTGAAGACAATGTTGGATACAGACATCAAATATATAATCTCATGAACGACGCATACGAAAATAAGTTCGAAACCAATTTAAATCCCCGAATAATTGATTTTCACAGTCAAACGGATATTGAAAATCATCTTTATCCTATCGACGATATAGATACTTTTTATACTGAATCTATTTAATCCATTTCTTATAATATTTTTGTACTCGCATAACTTTTGATTACAAAGGTTAATTTTTATATAAAAATGATTATCAATAAAATTATTTATATTTAACGCTCGATATTTTATTTAATTATTATTTTTATACCTCCATTAAATTTAACTAAAGTATCAACAAGTTGCACTAGCTTTTAATAGCAAATTCCTCTATTATCATGCAAAATTTAGATAAATTAACATAAAATATTTATAATTTTTAATTTCTATTAAAATGTCATAATTTTTTTAAATATCTAGATATATAAAATATATATTTTTCACAATCACATTATATATAACTAAAATTAAGTATTGTAAAAGCGTTGCCTATATCAATCTATCCTATTCCAAAATAATAATATTTTCTCATTATCTATTCATTAAGCTAAAAATGCGCTATAGTCTGCATTTGAATGAGAAATTAAAAATACCAAATTACATAGTTTTAAGTTCGAGGCTTGGTTATATTATGGTTCAGATATGTTTAGATGGGATAGATCAGAGATCTGCGGGCTTCTACCAAAGCGGGTCGGGCTTAGAAATTTTTTTAAAATTACCGGCGCCGGGTTTAGATTTTTTAAACAACCTGGATGAGGTCAAAAATTATTTTCTCTATAAACCCGGCCCTGGCCAAATATTTTAAAACTCGACTATTATAAATAATATATATAAAAATTATATCATCATTCATTTCCATTTCATAACTATTTATATCTCTCGTTAGAAAATATTTTTATTGTTAAATTGTTTTTATATTATTCACTAATTATTATGACATTTATTTTTGGTCAAATCACACAATTTTAATTTTCCTTATTACTATACTAGGTAAATAAAATAGTTATTAATTTAGTAATTTTATTTTTAGTCAAATATTATATAAAGAAAAAAAAATAGTTAAAATCTTTTATAAGTATCTTTTGTAATTTTCATGCATAAAAATTTTTCAAGATCAAATCATAATTTTTAAAAATAAACTTTTGCTCAAAAATGTTTTGAATGTTTTTTTTTTCAAACCGATTTTTAACAATATACTTTATAAAAACCAAATCCAACTAATATTACAGGCAATTTTTTTTATATAATTAAATTTTTTAAATTATTAAAAAATAATTTACAATATAAATCACATCATTTTAATTTCCCTTATATACGTACTAGGCCTATTCAAAAATAGTTCGATTCGAATAATTCGAATCTAATCGAATAATTACGAATACGAATAATAAATTATTTGTTTTATCTGAATACGAATAATCATTTATTCGATTCGAATAAAACGAATTATTCGAAATATTTAATAAATTGTTTAATAAATCTAACATTTGTCATTTCTATTAGTTGACCATCCAATCTGACAGGTGATGTGTTTGTGTTTATAAAAATTCTAGCACAAATTTAAAAAAATTTTATTTGCCACATTTTTGAATCTCACGAAAAGTTTATTTTTTGAATCTCATAATAAATTATATTAAAAATTACACACACCAGAGGTATATAAAAATATATTACATCTCTACAATAATTATTGTTAGCTAGCCTAATTATGTTAGAGGAGAATGCTTCTGATGTAATTATGCTTGATGTTGAAGATAAGAAAATTTCCTCACAAAAGAGAGCAATCATATGGGATCAATATCAAATCCTTAAAGACGGTGAAAAGACTGCTTGCAATCATTGCAAGAGTATTATAAAATGTAAAGGCAAAACAACATCTCCTCTTATTAATCATTATAATAGGTTTCATTCACACCTTAGTAAAAAAATAATAAAATTGACATTTTTTTAAAGTCTACACCAAATTCTTCAAAAAAAAATTAATTTTAAGGATAATTTATTAAAATTATTTATAAATAATAATATATCTTTTAAAATTATTTAGTGTTGTGAACGAAGTTCGTTTTTTTGAAAAAAGGTGATGAACGGCGTTCCTTTTTTTTTGACGAACTTTGAACGTGAACGCGTTCCTTTTCTTTGATGAACGCGTTCAATTTTACGTTCGTTCAATTTTAAAAACACTTTTTATTTTTATTTATTTGAAAAATTAATATTAATCCGCATTTTTTAACAAAAAAGTCTTATATTTTTATTTATTTGAAAAATTAATATTTAATCCAATTTTTTAACAAAAAAGTCTTATATTTTTTAATCAGCTGTTTTTACTTTTTCCTCTTTCATATTGCAATTAACACCATAACGTGCTACTGCTAGAGAAGATAAGATTAAAGTTTATTAATTTGAATATTTTATATTTTTATTTAATAGATTAGGATTTGCAAGGATATAAATATTTCATCATCAGATTCTGAAAATAAAAATTCAATATTAGATGAATTAGAATTACCATGGCCCTATCAAAAATATTTCATTGTTTTAAAATCAATTCCGAGATATCCTTTTTTTTTGACGAGGAAGAAGAGGGCAGATTGGAGGATGATAACATAGCTCAATTTTTTGAGACAATGGATAAAACATTAAATGTTTTTAATAAATTCCCCCTTTTAAAAGAATGTTTATCAAGTATAACACCGCAATCCCTTCATCTGCCCCTGTTGAGCGAGTTTTTAGTATAGCTAACGCTGTATTAAGTGCCAAGCGTTCATGCCTATCAGATGAAAATTTTGAAAAGCAATTATTATTAAAAATTAATAAGAAAAATTTTTTATAAATTTATTTTTTTATCGCTCTATTATATTGTATTTATAATTATATTATCAAAATAAAACTATTATTTTTTATCATGGCTAATATATTGGGTTGAAAAATATAAGGCATTTATTTATATTTTAAATTTTAAAAAAAATTTATCATAAAATTTTGAACGCGTTCACGAACTTGAACGCGTTCCTTTTTTTGAATTTGAACGTGAACGTGAACGCGTTCGATTTTTGTCAATGAACGTTGAACGCGAACGCGTTCGATTTTTTTTAAAATGTTTACAGCACTAAAATTATTAATTCAAATGATTTTAAAAATTTTATAAGTGATCTTGATTGTTCTGTAAAACAGCATAAATCCTTTAACAACAGTTTCAAAGTAGCATGTGATAAATTGTTTGGCTATTATAATTTAACTGCCGATGATGCAATAATAACCACAATATTATATCCCAGGCTTAAAGTAGAATATTTTAAATCAATATCTGTTGATTATGATATTGATATATCCAAGTTAACGGACAAATTTAAAGAGATTTACAATAGATACAGGTATTTAATTTACCCCCATTTAAATATGATTTATTTTATAAGCTCATAATTATAACTGTCAAACAAATATAGATAAAATTCAACAAAACAGGCTATAAATTGTTTTTAACCAAAATAATATTCAACTGTGTGAAATAGATTTTTATCTGAGTGAACCAAGAGCAAAGAGTGATACTGACCCGTTAATGTAATGGAAGGCAAATGCATATCGGATTTCCATACTCTTGAAAATGGCAAGGGATTATCTATCTATACAAGGAACATCAATTGCTTGTGAAAGGCTTTTCTCAGTTTGAAACTAATTTTTTGTCAAAAAACCGCATGTCATATAAGGAAGAAAAACTCTTTGCCTTAAAAATTGGCTTAAATTATAAATTAAATTAATAATATACATTTTAGTTTTGTTTATAACTTGATTATATATTATTTATTATCAGATTATTGATTACATATTATTATAATTTTTTCTGTTTAAAATCAAATTTGTAATAAAAAAATTTATCAATATATTTGAGCATGAATTATTTTATTAAAAAAATTAATTCGAATCGAATACAAATCGTATATTTTATTATTCGAATTCGTTTTTGAATAGTCCTAATACGTACACACGCAGGGATTCGTTATAAGGGGGGGGGGCAGTTAAAAAATAATTCTAGGAGTTATTTAAAAATATCTTAAGTTTAAATTTATTAGTACTAGTGACTTTAAAATATTAACAAATTCAAATACTTAATGTTTATAATCTTTATAAAAAAAGTGTTGGAAATATAAATTATGTACAAAAATATTATTAAAAAAAATATGTTGTATTAAAAAATGGGGGAAAATATATTAAGAAACGTAATAAATTTATCTAAAATTCAATCTTCTTTAGGATTTCGATAATTTTTCAATGATTTTATCAACACTAACGCCCATTCAATATATTTTCAGAGGTAGGACTTCTCAGTAGTGTTGTTAAGCAGCTCTATTTGAGTCGATTTTTAAAGAAGATGAAAAAGATAAGATCTTTATCTAACTTAGACCACATAATTTATGTTTACAAAAATAAATTATAGATTTTGGATTTATAATCTAATATAATGTGAAAAGTATTTGTATTTATTTCAAATCATAATAAATATGAAATATTTTTTATTTATTAGTATTTAAAATACAAATAATAAATACTCTTTAAATTATTCAAATAAATATAAAAAAGTTATTTTTTCCTCTTTAGCTTTCACCTTTTCTGGTGGTAAGCTCCTTCAATATCTCTCTCCACTTTATGTTATTCATACTATCTCTTTTATCTAATTTATACTTCTTCATATTGGCTCTAACTTTATGGCCATTGAAGTTTTGACCTTCCTCTTTTACGTTTGCCCATCACTTCCAAACTCTCTACCTTATTTCCTATGTAGTTCATAGGCCTTCTCATTGTGTGCTCATACCACCTAAGTCTGTTTACCATTATCTTAGTCTTAATGTGCACTACCTTTAAACTTCCTAGTATTATTGTACTGCGCACTTTATCTTTTCTTGTTACCCCAGCAATCATCCTCAGTATTCCCATCTCCATAGTTTGTAGACTTCTCTCGTCTGATTCTTTGATTGGCCTTGTTTCCAAACTATATAGAATAGTTGGTTGTACTATTGAACTGTAAATTTTTCCCTTCAATTTATGTGGGATTCTTTTGTCAAAGAGCACTCCAGATAAAGATCTCCACTTTAACCACCCTTGATTAATTTTACTCTTTATCTCTTTCTCTATTGTGCCGTTTGTTTGTATAGTGAAGCCCAAATATTTGAAGCTTTCAATATCCAATATCTGCCATTCATTTATATCATTGCTCTCTGTTTCATCTCCTCCTATCACCATATACGCCGTCTTTTCTCTATTTACTTTTAGTCCGTGCTTTTCTAGGATATTTATTCAACTCACTAATCTTTCTTTCATTTCATCCTTGGG